GATTTCTTTTCTGCCGTCTTATAGACGTCTCTGGCAGGTCTCATGTGAAAGACTTGAGGACGTCTTATTCAGACGTCCTAGAGACGTAAATTTACCTAGACATTCTTTTAAAAGTTATATAAAAATGCAATGATATACAATACACTCCTTAGAGGGCAAGTGAAGGTATAAAGAGAAATCAAAGTTCATAAAGTGTAATTTCATATATTTAAAATAAATTATTAACTTTACAAAAACTTGGAAAAATTATTCAAACAAAGTTACACTTTCCAAATTAAAAACTAATATTTTTTGTAGAGTATAATCGATAGTATATTATAAGTAAAAAAAAAATTACTGAAAAATGCAAAATAAACAAAAAACACAACAGTTGATTGAAGTTAATTAAGCCATCATTGATCAATATGGATATTGGTGGATTTTCTCTCGAATCAGTCAGAAAAATGCCTAATTAATCTCCCAATAAGCTCCATTTTGGTTAAGCTTTTATTTGACTTTGAAGCAGCATCTAATAAAAACAACAAGACATAGTTTAATAAGATCATAAAATAAAATATATGTCATGTTTCATAGCCAAAAAAAATGAGAAATTTTTTTATTTTTTATTAAAAGATTGTTTTTAACTTTGAAAGTAAATTAAACACAATAATAAGCTAATAAGAATACCAGTGATAGCAATACATAGACTTGTCAACTTTTTAAACTTTTTTTTGTTCTTTAGACCATTCATGATGCATTCTGAAAATAGTATCTATTGTCAGTCTACATATAAAAAAGATGATAAATGTCATGCTGTCAAACATAAATGTTAAAATTCAAACTTATGCTAATTACTTACAAGAGCAAAATATTTTTAATTGTATCAACTGAATTTTTACCTCCAAATAATGATAACTGTTTTACCTAAAAAGAAATAATGCAAAAGAAACTTTGAAAATGTTCATGACAATTCAAAAGAAATATTGTAATAATATATAAACTATAAAATGAAATTCATGCACACAAAAGTGATGTATTGGATATCTCCATTTGCAATTTTTCTTTTCAAAACATTAAGTTCATCTGAACTTTTAAGTTGTTTATAACCTTCTGCATCATTAGAGAACTGTGCAGTTTTATTTACTAAAATGTTTTTAATTTCAGCAAGTTTGAACATAACTTTTCTCTGAAACTCTGATAAGTAAAATAAATAAGTGAAGCCATATAAATAGTATATAAAGTAGTAAATAGTACTTTCTATAAATGGTTGGAAAAGGAAGTCACCTTGTTTTTCCATCAGTAGGTTCATCAGGAAGCTTCCTGATGAACCTACTGATGGAAAAACAAGGTGACAAAGAGAATTAGATAAGTTTTATTACAAATTTATTATTGCTCTCAGGCATGTAGAGTTGGGAAAAAAAAGTACCAACTTTTAATCGCTGAAATTTTTAGAGAACGACTCTGACTCCAAAGCAAAACTTTTTTGAATTTTGAATAAAAATTGAATAAACATTTCTTTGAATTCTTTAAAAAATATTACACGATAAATAAATAAAAAAAATTTTTTTGTCAAATATATGAAAAGCTCTTTAAAGGTTAAATATTTTGTACATTAACATGCAATACCGAAAAGTTTTACTATTGGAGCCGGAGTCGCGAGTTTGTTTAGCGACTCTGACTCCACTAACAGTGTCGCAACTCCTACTCCATGACTCCACAGCCCTGATTGCTCTGTTCTTTAAGAACATTGCAGACATCACTCTACTTGTAGAATACACTAACATAATTTATGTGTACATATATATATACATACATAAATACATACATATATAAAAAACCATTATAAAAAATACAAGTTTAGCCTTGTAACGGCATCTGACATCAAATATGCAACACTTGACCGAATCAAAGCGATATAGCATAACTAAATTTTTTTTTCCCTTTTAGAGCTGTATTACCAACAGTATATAACACTGATCAATACGCACACACACACACACACACACACACACACACACACACACACACACACACTCACACACACACACACATATACCCATTCAGCAGTACATTAATGGGCCAGAGCTGGCGAGCCAGGTCCGGCAAAACAGATGTGATCCAGTTAAGGGCCTTAGCTGGCGAACCAGAACTGGCTTGCCATTGCCGGACCATAAACGTATCATTAATGGCTCGTCAAAGGTACAAAAATGCATCCCAATCAGCAGTACATAAATGGGCCAGAGCTGGCGAGCCAGCTTCGGCTAAATGCGTGTGTTCCAATTAAGTGCCTTAGCTGGCGCACCAGAACTGGTAAGCCATCGTCGGGCCATAAGTGTCTCTAAAATGTCACGTCAGCTTGGTACGGCGATGCCATAATGCATTGTGCAAAGTTCTAATGTATATATTTAGTGTATTTCCTACTAGTTAGACTTTACAAGTTCATAACTTTCATCAAAGAGGATTTTGTAGTTTTGGTTTTAGTAATGAGCTATTGGACTCAAAGAAGAAAGATTCGGGAAGAAGTAAAAAATATTTTAACCGAAATAAATCAAGGAGAACTCGTTATCAATGAAGCTGGTAACTCTGATTATTTACATGAGACTGGGTTTAATTTTTCTCAAGCTATTGACTTTTTGCCCAAGACAGTTGTTCAAAGCAGTTGCAAAAATCGTGTATTAAACACATTAAGTAATGAAGCTTGCAACTCTACTGCTTTTAATGAAAATCTCAATCTTTCTTATCAAATTGATAATGAAAATAGTGAGTTTGAAATTTCATCTGATAGTGATTCAGATATAAACGAAGAACATAATGTAGTAGATGAACTGGAAGGTGATTTAGCTTTTTGGTATTCTCAACATAATATTACACAACAAGCATTCAGTGATCTAATTTGCATTGTGAGAAAGTTAGTTCCTGGTTTATCAAAATGTCCAAAAACAATAATGCAAACAGAAATTGCAAAGCGTGAAGTGTATGAAGGTTTCTGTTATTTTGGTATAAAGCAGGAGATACTCGATAAATTGCCCACTGTGTTTAGTGATGATGAAAATGAAGTTTCAACAGTATCTTTTCAAGTCAATATAGATGGCTTGCCATTGTTTAAAAGCATAATACACAGCTTTGGCCAATTCTTGGACTTATAGAAAAGTTTGAAAATAAACTTCAACGAAATAAAGAACCATTTGTTATTGGGTTATACTGTGGAAATAGTAAGCCACCGGATGTTAATAAATTTCTAGAAGATTTTGTGAAAGAAGTAAAAGAACTTCAGCTTAATGGCATTACCAGTAACCATGTACATTACAAAGTAAAACTTTCTGCTCTAGTGTGTGACACCCCAGCTAGAGCTTTTGTTAAATGTATAAAGGGGCATAGTGCTTATTATGGGTGTGATAAATGTGAACAGCGTGGTGTCTATGTTGGGCGTGTCACTTTTCCAGAAACAGACGCAGTTCTTAGAACAGATATTTCTTTTCAAAGAATGACAGATCATCATCATCATAATAGTGAAAGCCCACTAACTAATATTCCACTAAAAATGATATCACAAGTGCCTGCTGATTATATGCATTTAGTTTGTCTTGGAGTCATGCGGAAATTAGTATATTTGTTACTTAGAGGTCCTTTAAAGACTAGGCTTGGTCCTCGTGTTGTCTGTGAGCTGTCAGAAAAACTGCTAAATTTAAGAAATTATATCCCATGTGAATTTGCACGTAAGCCTAGGTTATTTAAAGACTTTGAACGTTGGAAGGCAACAGAGTTTCGGCAATTACTTTTATACAATGGCATGGTGTGTTTTGAAGGTATATTACCAACTGCATTATATAATAATTTTATGTTACTTTCAGTTGCTATGAGTATCCTGTTAAGTGAATTTTTGCGGGATAAGTATGTTGATTATTCTCACAGTTTGTTATTGTTATTTGTTAAGCATGTTGCTGATATTTATGGCAAGGAAGTGATCACATACAATATGCATGGGTTGTTGCATTTAGCAAGTGTTTCTAAAAGTTTTGGACCTTTAGATAACGTATCATCATTTCCCTTTGAAAACTATTTGAAAAAATTAAAAAAGCTTGTACGCAAACCTCATTTGCCATTGCAGCAAGTGGTTAGAAGGCTATCGGAAAGAAAATTAGTGAATATGAGACAGCAGTTTAGTTATAAGGTCAAAGATTTTCCATACTTTAAAAAAGAACATAGTAATGGACCTGTGCCAAGAAAACTGAAAATAAGTTTTGAGTATAAAGAATTGTTTGCTAAACATTTTTGTATTAAAATAACCAATGGTGATAACTGCTTTAGCTTAAACAATGACAAAATAATTGTTGTGATGAATATTGTGAAAACTATTGATAATAATGTATGTATCATATATAATGTGTTTGAAAACATTGAAGATTTATTTATATATCCTTGCAATTCATCATCCTTGAACATTTTTAAAGTATCATGTTTAAATGCAACTTTGTTGTACTGTTCACTGTCGGTAATAAAAAGGAAATATGTTCTTTTACCATTTAATTCTGTCTATGCTGCTATACCCATGCTACACTTTTAACATTTTTGCCATATCAATTTTTTTGATTTGTGAATATATATTTCTTATTACGATGAAGTTATTTAAATTATTGTGTAATTTGCTTTTGTTTAAGTTATAACTCATAAATTATTATATATATGTGTGTCTATATATATATATATATATATATATATATATATATATATATATATATATATATATATATATATATATATATATATATATATATATATATATATCTGCATATATATAAATAAAACTTTTAAAACTTTTTTGACACAGTCTATATAGAACAAATCTAAAATAATAATAGGTTGTTTATTTAAATATATTTATATTGTATTGATATTTTCAGTTTATTTGTAAAGTCAGTTGCTATTAATCAGGATTCTGTAAATTATAGAGCAAAAACAATTTGTTTAAAGGTTGAAGTGAAAAAAGCAAAAAATAGATTAAAAAAATGTTAGAAAATTAATTGAGATAAATATTAAAAAAGAGAGATATTTATTAAAAGTAAAATAAGAATTTAAGATTATTTAAAAATAATATAGTTAATTTAAATTATCATTTAAACAAAAATGTTTTTATTTTAAAAATTGATAATAATAAAATAGTATTAATTAATAAAAATATTTCTTGTTATCACTAATCAGTTGCTTTATTACATTTACTAATTGTCTGACTTTTCTTATGTCTGTCTTTTTAGTTTTTGGCTGATTTAAATAGTGCATTAAAATGGTTCGTCTGAGAAAAAGTTATAGCACAAGTATTTTTATACTTTTGTTCAACAGGTAGTCAATGTCTGACTTATTTTTGGCTGGTATCAACAGAGCATTCATTTAAATGAGCATTTTGTCTGGAAAAATTTTTTAACTATTTAATCTCAATAATTTTGTTATTGAGAAAGTTGTAACAACTTCCTCATTTTTGTTTGGTATAAAAAGAGCAATTTTTAATATCCACCCATTATAAAAGTCATTTAAAAAGTTTAAGGTTTGTTGAATTTATAACTCTTTGTTTTATTTTAATTTTATGTTGTTACTAATTTGTAAATTCTATATTTATGTTTTTGTATTCTATAAATCAACCTATTCCTCTATAACTCTTTTTTATAGTATTTGTTGTATATATCTATTGTGTGTGTGTGTATATATATATATATATATATATATATATATATATATATATATATATATATATATATATATATATATATATATATATATATATATATATATATATATGTATATATACATATATATATATATATATATATATATATATATATACATATATATATATATATATACATATATATATATATATATATATATATATATATATATATATATTTATATATATATATATATATATATATATATATATATATATATATATATATATATATATATATATATACATATACATATATAATTTAGGAATAAGTAAAATATAACAATGAAACCTATAATAATAATTTTTTTAACACATTAATTTTTTATATTTTATTTTGTTTCTTCATAAATTGTGTTTAGGTTTTTTTTTTATTAGCAAAATGTATTAATACAAAATATAATGTAACTTAATATTACTTAAACAGGAATGTGAACCATTAAAGAAATTTGTTATATATGTTATTTGTTTATCCTATAAGGCATTATAAATATTAAGAATTAAAAATATAAGAATTAAATTTTGATATTAATACACATTTTAAACTAGAAAAGTCTTTTTAAATTAATAAACTAAATTGATACTGAATGTTGTGAAATTTATTTTTTGTTTGATTCAATGTTCTGCATTGTAGATGGATAAAAATTTTTTTGCTATTGTTGCATTTGTTGATGAAAATGATGACGTTGCAGTTGTACCAGGTTCATGGCTGATTGGTAAGGACATGTGTTATTGGCCTCCTTATACATGCCAGCAAAGAAATAATAAAGCTGTCAAAGATGAAGAAACCCCAACGGAAAATTGGAGAAAGCATTTAGTCAGAATTTTAGGGGTGAAAGGTAATGCTCTTGTATTTTAATTTTAAACAAATAATCACAAATCAAAACTCATTGCTTTTAATTAAGGGGTATAACATTGTTTCAAGTTTTCATTAAAGTGTAGATTAATATAGTATTTAAATGTCAATGTCAAACTGTTTATATTTAATCATTTATCTATTTTGTTGTGCTTCCAAATCGTTCTACATTTTATTAAAGTTAACATTTAGTTACTTTGATAAAACGGTTTTATATTTTCTGTTGATATTTATTCTAAAATTTTCAGATTCTTACGAAAAGGCTAGATCTTACCTTTCTAAAGCTACTCTAACATCAGATCTGCAGAGTGATGCTGAAAGTCAAACATTGAGACACAAACGATAAGCTATTATAATGCTTTAAATTTATAAAAAATACATTATTGGTACGCAGCATGTTTACAATATATTGTATTATATATATTGTATTTATATAAATGTATTGTTTTTGGTGGCCATTGCTCATTGTTGTCGTTGTAAACTAGTTACATAATGTTGTGGAGGCTTGTTTGTAACCCAATAAATACAAGAATTTATTCCATATACTTATTTGCTAATTTTGTAAGTTGTATGCAAATGCAATTCTGAACAACTTGACTTTTTTGTAGTAAGTTACTGGGGTAATATATTTTTTTTAATTTGGATTTCTATAAAGATGTCTATAATTCTATAAAGGTTATGTTTCAACATTGAACTTTCATTATAAATCTTTTATTTAGAATACAGAAGTATCCTGCTGAAATTTTTGATAGTGACTCTCAAGAATATAATGAGCAACCACAATCAAAAAAATCTTGTCTCCTAACACCTGTCTCTATAGTCAATAGAGAATGGAACACATTTGAAAAAAGTGATCAAACAGCAAAAAAGATATTTTCTCCTTCTCGTGCACCAACACCTCCTCCATTTCTCGACACCAATCCAAGGAGCACACTAATAAAACCAGTTGTTTCAAAAGGTGGTCTGTCAACTAGCTAGATTCAAACTTGTTCCTCAAATGACACTAGTAATATTGCTAATAGAGAACAGCTCATCGAATCTGAGCTTGCTCATCCAGAAGCTGTTTCATTAGTTTCATCAAGTACTGCCTTCTTATCAATGAGTGCCACTTTGAATAAGATTATTACACTTCAGGTAGAACTTAAATCTGCTATGAATAATCTGCAGAAGCAAATAAATAACAACACTGCCATGTTGCAGTCTCTTACACAGGGTGGGAGAGATGATGATGACAGTATATTTGATTCTCTTGATTTACCAGTTTGTGACATAGAACAATTGCAGCAACTTGAGAATGCACTAAAGCAGGATAAAATTGTTTTTGTTAAGCTTGTAAGTTTGAGAAATATGCTTCAAACTTAAATTATATATATATATATATATATATATATATATATATATATATATATATATATATATATATATATATATATATATATATATATATATATATATATATATATATATTTTAATTATAAATAGTTTAGGCTTTTTTTTATATCGTTAAAATCAAAGGTTTATTTTTGTAAGTGAACCAAGGATTTATGTCTTAATGTAACATTTAAATAATCATTTAAAAGCAATATTTTTCGAGATTTATTGGTTATATATTTGGTTATGGTTGTATATTTGGCTATGGATGTATATTTGTGATTCTGATTAAAAATTTTATTTACAATTTTTTTCAAATTGTAAAAGTTAAGGACATACTTTGTGTCATACTGATTAAAATGTCTTAAAAGTACTTATTTGCTGTTTCAGAACTAATTGTAATGTTGATTAATGTCTGAAATGAAAATTATTCTTGTACCTATTTGGTTAGGTATAAAACTTTGTTTGAAAGATTTGTTGGAAGAGCTAATTAAGTATTTCCTCTGTAATTTATTTGTAGTTAATTGCAAAATATTTTATGCATAATATTTTATGTTAATAAAAAAAAAGTGAGCAGAACAGTTTCATTAAGAATACAATTTTTTTGTTAAGGTAAAAGGAGTAGCAGCAAAAGGTGGGCAAAATCTGAAGGAAGCCACTAAGAGAATGATGTCATCTGTAATAAACGATGAAGTTGCAAAAAAATTAAATTGGACAGGACTAGGTGAACTTGATAAAAAATCTTTCCGAACTCTTAAATCTCGTCAAGTTATTGAAAGTAAGTGAAATATTTAAGAACAATTGAACCTGTCTATTCGAAAAGGGCACAAGTCCATTTATTAAAATTTTTCAAAATCAACAAAAATATGATTTTAAATAAAATAATGTCTTCGCAGCTAAAGAAATTAAATATAGAAGTGGATAAATAAAGAAAGTATATAACTTATGCAACTTTTATTTTTTTATAAAAAAACATAAACCATACAGAAATTTTTAAATTTAAATTTATAAACTAACTGTTAAACGTTTTGGACTTGTGTTCTTTTCGAAATGACAGGTTCAATTGTAATCAAGTGTTTTTTCTACACTTTATTTTCATTTATTAAATTCAAATTGTTGTCATATTTTAGAAAGTTCCCAACCCACTCATACTTGTTTTTTAAATAACTTTTATTTTTCTTAAAACCAAGTATTTATTTTGAATGTTTCAAAATCCTGCATTTATAATAAAATCTTAAATAAAGTTGTTTCTCAATAATTGAGAAACATCGTTATTTAAGAAATATTAAAATGCAGAATTTTGGGTTGGGAACTTTCTGCATAATTTGGTTCATTTAGTTTCTTTGATGTTTGTATATTCGAAAAATAGAAATTTATTTTGATATATATAAATGTGTGTATGTATGTATGTGTGTATATATATATATATATATATATATATATATATATATATATATATATATATATATATATATATACAGCATTTATCAATTAAAATGGTAGATTTATATTATAAAATTTTACATCCCTACATCTCTGCATGGTTAGTTACTTCCATGAAATTGTTTTGAGTTTTCATTAAATCATAATAATATAAAAGTCTGTGTAATAGACTGTAAATTTGTTTTTTAGTTGTATTTAAACTTTAATTCAAAACAATCATTCAATACATATTTAATTTTACATTATTATTACGTATCTGTGCCTCTTTTTAAGTTCTAGTTCATCCAAATAGTTACTATTTGTAAGAGTTTATTTATAAACATCATTAAATAACAGTTTAAGCAATTTTATATTATGTATAGTATAATGAAACTATTAGTACATACGCATACGATGAGTATATTATTTATGAAAAAAAACGTTTCAAATTTGATTGTTTAATGTTTTTAGTAGCAATACGAAGAAATTTGTCAACCAAAGATGTTACAGATAGTGACATTCAAAAAGCAATTGTTGCTTTTTTGTCTGGAGCTAACGACAGAAATGGAGGCAGAAAGGAAAGAGCTGAAAGAAAGTCTATTCAGAAATCCAGTTCGACAGAAAGTCGTGGTAGTTCTAGCCATACTAGTCAATCATAGACTTCAAAACCGCGATTATCATTACCACGGTTTGAAGGCTCTATTTCTGACAAATCTGACAACAATTAATGTCCTTAGAGTCTTACATGATCCGCTTCATTACTTATGTTGAACACTTTATTGATTGTCTATATATTAGCTTTTTTAGAAACAAAACTGTTTAATTTTTTTTAACGCTGATATGTTTTTTTGTTTAAATATATTACTTGATATTTGACATTGTTTTAAGTATTTCTATTATTAATAATAGAAGAGCATATGAATTTTTGTTTCATTTGCAAATTCTTAAACTTGTAAATTAATATATCTAGTGGGAATGTGTCCTTAGTACAGTAGCGCACATTCATAATGTTTAGATAATAAACCTATTTATATATAATAAAACTATTTTTGGTTGTTAACTAAATACCTTATTAAAAATTGACAGATACAAATATTATAATTATTTTTTATTTATATATAATTAATTTATAATTATGTCTTAAATATAACTAAGTTTATATATAATAATTAAAATAAAAAGGTATATATAATTGAGTTATTAGGTAAATTCTTATCGCGGGCCTATAGTGGACCCACGTTACAACGTGCGCTGGTTGCGGACCTTGGCCCTGAATTAAACCGATGATGGCTTGTCACTACCAGAACGTTGCTGTGCCAGCACTGGCTTACGGAAACCGGTCCATCGAAAAACCAATGAGCAACCCAGCGCTGGCACAGCGCTGGCGTGCCAGACCTGGTACGGCACAGCAGCCAAGCTTGGTTCGATATTAGGCCAAGTAGTGTCTGCTTACTGGGCGTGCGCTGGTTGCGGACCTTGGCCCTGAATTAAACCGATGCTGGCTTGCCACTACCAGAACGTTGCTGTGCCAGCACTGGCATACGGATACCGGTCCATCGAAAAACCCATGAGCAACCCAGCGCTGGCACAGCGCTGGCGTGCCAGACCTGGTACGGCATGACAGCCAAGCCTGGGTCGACATTGGGCCAAGTAGTGTCTGCTTAATGGGTATAAAATAAATATGTATGCATCATGTAAACATTATGATATATATATATATCATAATATATATATATATCATATATATATATATATATATCATGCTACTATAGAAGGAACATATATATATATATATATATATATATATATATATATATATATATATATATATATATATATATATATATATATATATATATACATTTATATATATCTTTGTTATGGTTCTTTCCAAGTTTTAAAAATCTGAGTGAAAAAATACAATACTAAATCAAATAAAAGTCTTTAAAAATGATAAAACAAATTAAAGAATATATACAACTTATTTAAACTTAATAACTAAACTCAATTTTCCTTTATTTAAAAATTGTATAGATTATAGTTTATAGATCATAGAGTGTAAAATATAGAGAATTGAAAAATATCTTCAAACGATAAATAACTAAACAAAATTAATAATATCAAATTAATCAACCAAACAATGCAGACATTTTTAATTCACCGAGTTAGCGCATAATATTTTATGCGCTAAGTTATATTCTTTTGATATAAATTTTATTGAAAACGTTTATTAAACGTCTTTGAGGCAATTTATTTCCAAGGTAATTAGAACGTCTAAAGAAGGTCTTAGGGACGTCAATAGGACGTCCTAATATGGAAGTCCTGATAACGTCTTTATGTTAACGTCACTAGGACGTCCTAACAAAGATGTCTTTTTTTGACATCTTTAGGACGTCCTAATTTGGTCTGAGACGTCGCGACCTTGTTAAGACGTCCGTAAGACGTCTGATTGACGTCTGGGCCCGCTGGGTGTTAATCGTCGCCAAAATGAATGAAATAGGCTCGATCGAGATAATGTTAATCGTCACCAAAATGAAAGAAATAGGCTCAATCGAGATAATGTTAATCGTCGCCAAAATGAAAGAAATAGGCTCACTGAGTCGTAGAAAAAAAATTAAAGTTTATTTATAACGTAGTAGATTATTAGAGTAGATTAAATTGTTTAATCTATTAATCAACTTAATAACGTACTATTAAAGTGAAGATTTATTTCGGTTGTTTGTTTGTTAAAATTTAGTTAGAGTTTATTTAAAATTTAAATTCTTTAGTTAATCAAGAGAGATCTAATAAAGGTATTAATTACATTAGTTAAATGTAGCATTTAATATGTATTTTATCGATATTTTAACGTCTAAACATTAAAGTGGTTTTATTGTTTAGATACAGAAGTGAAGAAGGAATTAAGTCAGTGTTTTTGCTATTAGATATTTGTTAATAGGAATTTGTTTACTTGTACTGCCACTGGAATTTTAAAAAAATCAAGTTTTTTAGCTTTATTTTATACTTTCTATAAGGGGAGTTGAAACAAAAACTAAGTATAAATTATGATTAGTTTAGTTTAATAAATAAGGCATTAATATTTAGAAAATTTAAAGTTTACTTTAGTTTATAGTTTTGGTTTAGTTTATAGTTTTGTTTTTAGCTTGAGTTATTTTTTCTTATTTTTGACAACTTTATGAATGAAATGAGGGGGATGGGTAAAACAATTATTTAGAGTTGTATATATTTATATGTTAACATTATTTTATCGATATTATATATTTATTTAAATATATTTTTGTCTTTAGTGTGTGGTCGAAGTATAGCTGGTAGGGCTGTGTTTTATATTTTAAATGTTTTGTATGGAGAAATATGTGCAATAGGTGGAAAAATTCATTAATAAATATGACACTTTTGAACTGGTTGCATTATTGCCCCATATATTTATTAAAATACAAAATGTTGCATGTTTAACCCTTATTAATTTGCTCTCTTTTTTTTTTTTTTTAGCATTTTCTGTTTCGAATGAAAATGGTGAGGTTATGCTAATTTTTTTTTTTTAATAATTGCAAATGTATAATTTTTATTATATTCTTCTATTTGTAACTTTAGATTCCTTATCATTCGAAGAATACAAAAATTACCGCTCCCAACACCCGGGTCCTTCAATAAATGGAAACATAATGGCGGAATGGATGAGCCCTCCTTTAAATGGAGGGCTCATCCATACCGGGGTGTTGGGAGATTTCGAAGAAAAAACAGCAACCAAAAGGTTGTAAATGTCTTCTATCAGTAGAGATATTTATGACTTTTTAGTTGTTGCTTTTTCTTCGGTTTTTTTTTTTTTTAATTTTGTAAGTTTTTGTTTCGTTTTTTTTTTTTTTTAATTTTGTATTTTTTTGTTGCGGTGTTTTTTTTTTTAATTTTGTAATTTTTTTTTTAAATATATATTACGTTGTATATTTGACTTGTTTTGATCTTTTTAATGAAAATTTTAATTGTTTTCTCACCAATTAAACCTGACTTCAAATTAAAAGCCCTCTTAAATACCCCTCCCTAAAATCTAAAGTCGAAAGTTGATTTGATTCATTATCTAATTATCATAATAAAAGGATGCTGCATTCTTTTGTTAAATACAATTATTTGGTATGTTTCATTTATTGAACTCACTGCTTTTAAAATTTACCAAAACCCAAGGCAATGTATTTACCTATATAATTACAATTTATTTATCTCGATTCCATTCTTCATCTTTTATGTTTATAGTTTGGCTTTTTGAAACATTTTATGTTTTGCTTTTTTTATTATGAGTATTTTAAATCCGTTGTGATGTCTTTTAAATTAAACCAAAGTTTACTAAAAGCCAACATAAAAATTACGTTTTTGAACATCACCAAAAAGAACAGCTGCATCCCTACAGCAATTGCTGCAGTATCACAAATGGTTACCAAAAGCAGGTATACTGTTTTCCAGTTGTTGTTTTTTTTTTTTTCATATATATCTACTTATCTATATAAAACTATAGTACGATTGTTTATATCTCATTCATTTATTTTTTCTTTATCTTTAAGTGTTAATAATTTTATTCTTTGAATGAGATTAGTTGAACAAGTCGGCTTTTCATTAAAGATATTGGTTTCAAAATTGAACACCATTGGCAAAATGCTTAAAAAATTAGGTAGTTTTAAAAAATCTGATTTCTATTTAATACACTTTTTTTAAAATATACTTTTTTAATATACTTTTCTATAACAATCCTACTAATATGGAATCACGTAGCTTTTTAAATATGTTTAATTGTCGTCCCTATCGGTAATAAATATTTTAAATTATTTGATATGGTTTTCTTTACAATAGGATATGCTTGGCTCCTCGGTGCTGTAAATGGTGGTTTCAACTTTGTTTTTTGAAGAAAAATGTGTTTTATATATGCTTCTGTTTTAAAATATTTTTGTTACATATTTAACTACATATGATATATATAAATAAATTTCTTTTAAAGATATGAAAACTTGATACTTGCTTTTTTACGGAATTTCAAAAAGTGAACAAAGGTTTAAATATATTTTTTAACTGTCTTATATGATTTTATCAATTTTATTAAAGCTGAATAATTACTTCAAAAATATTGAGTAAAATCCAATTCTTTTTATTATTAACCTGATCTATACAAAAATTAATGAAATAAAACTAATAATTTAACGTCAAATTAAGGCAAAATGTATTCCGGACATTTTATAAAATTAGTATAAACATGGATTGGATGTATGGTGAATTAAATATGTTGATACGCGTTAGCTTTTAAAGTAAATTCATATATTCCTTTATTGTTTTTTTATAAACAAGTTTCTGCTGGATTACTAATTAAAAAAAAGGTTGGTTTAATAATAATCTTTGTCATAATAATATAGGATCCGTCTGCAGGGCTAAAAGGGCCCTTTTCGGAATTGCGATATAGTTTTCAACTTATAGTTTTTCCGGATATCCAACTTCTATGCCTACAAGTTTGAGTGTAATATTTTATCTGTTTTAAAAATATTTAAAACGTATATTAATAACACTAAAAAGTTTAGGTGCGATAGTGACATATTTTTAAGAATTGCAAAAGAAATGGTTAACTTTATCTTTAATGAAGCTAAGAGTTCTCTTAAACTAAGAAGCCAAGAAAAATAAAAATGAGCTCAACTGAAAAAATGTATAAATAAATTTATATTTCATTAGAGAAAGTAAATAAAGATCAAATTATTAATAATGATTTACTTACTACTAACCCGTATTACGGGTTGCTTTCTGTATAAATAAATTTATATTTTATTAGAGAAAGTAAATAAATATCAAATTGTTGATAATGATTTATTTACTACTAACCCGTATTACGGGTTCATTACTGCTAGTAATAATAATAATATGGA